TGCTGCTTGGCCTGCTGTGTTCATCCAGCTCTACACCTTGTTATCTCTAGGGCTAAGAAAGGACAGGACCTGTTGTTGAGAAGAACTTCATCTGGAATAGAATTCAGGTCAAAAAATAATAGATGAGTTGGAGGTTAAGAAGAGTAGAAGTTCTGAGGCCTATTGAGCAAGTTATTAGAACAGTTAAGTAAGAAAATGGCATAAACAGGGTTTTAGCTGAAATTGGGGCACAACAGAATCGGACTGGACATTTCAAAGGTGGAATAAAGCAATCTGGTCACCCTTAATGTAAAATTTAAAACTCAGCTCAATATTGAGTAGATGTGGGCAAGGTAATAGCATAACGGTAATATTACTGGAATAGTGTGGTCCAGGTTAATGCTCTGGGCCATGGATTCAAATCCACCAGCTGCGGGAATCAAATTTAAATGAAGAATTCTGCAATTGAAGGCTTGTTTTAGTAATGGTGGCCGTTGAACGTATTATCAATTGTCATTGAAAACCCATCTAGTTCACTAGTGGTTTTTAGGAAAGGACATCTGCCACCTTTACTCAACCTCGCCTACATGTGACTCCAGACCAGCAGAAATGTGGTTAACTCTTAACTGTCCTCTGGCTTTATTTGTTGCCTAGCAAGTCACTCAGTTCAAGGAAAATTAGAGACAGGCAATCCATGTCAGACATCCCATGAAAGAAAAGAAACAAAAAGTTATATACAAGGTGTACAAATGATTAATTGCACCAATATTCATTATTTCACCTGTATGTCCTCACTTTATTTGGGAACAATTTTCACTACTTGTTAAGCCGTTTCGTTCTTACATTATTATTTTGGTGTGTTGCTAAGTGCTCCCAGCAACAATCACATGGTGATGTAACACCACACAGCAGCTCCCTCCCAGCATCCTCTGCACAGCTTTCCTGATCAATGCCTTTTGTGTTCATGGCTCTCATAGTGAAAGTGCATTGTGAGATTACTCTTAACTTTTATCGTGTTAAATCCATGTAATCATTACAACTCTGCGTGGAAAACACATCGCTAGTGCAAGTGGTAAAGCTTCTTAATGTAAGTGACAGAGTCAAAGTGTGATTCTCAATGTGAAATTAGTTGGAATTAAATAAAGTAAAAGTGGTAATCATGCTGTTAACAGCATTTGCCATCCTGGGTTGCCACTGCCAACCATGAATGAAATCAGTGAGAAAACCACGCCGCATTCTGCTGCATTCAACACCGAAGATAACATGGCAACACAGCAAAGCAATTTAGATAATGAAAGACAGGCTGATGATGTGGCTTGACGGTCTTCATGAGAAGATCATGCCAATCAAACTTGCCCTTATCCAGTGAAGGGTATCAATTTTTATGAAAACATCAACAAATAAGGGAGAGAGCTCTATTATAAGCCCCAGTGAAAAACAAGAAACCTTTGATGCAAGCCGTGTCCGGTTTCATCATTTTATGGCATGAAACAGCTTTAAAAATGAACAAAAACAAAGTTGCTGGAAAAGCAACGGAACGTCCGAGGAAGGGTCACCGGACCCGAAACGTTAACTCTGTTTTCTCCGTCACAGATGATGCCAGACCTGCTGAGCTTTTCCAGCAACTTTGTTTTTGTTCTTGATTTACAGCATCCGCAGTTCTTTTGGTTTTTAGCTTTAAAAATGTACCTGTACAGGGAAAACTGCACATGCTGCTGGTACATTCCCAGAGACAGATCATACAGAATGGTGACTACAACCCTGGCTGAGTTTTAATGCAGGTAAGGCAGGTCAGTGTTGGAAATGATTGCTGTAAAGAACATAAATCTCCGTTAATGAGAAGAATGCTCCTAGATTTAAGATTCTGAAAAAGCACCTTGTTCTGTTGCTGGGTAGTGATGCAAATGGCACAGGAAGCTGCTTGTTTATCACAGCAAGAACCCGGAACAATGAAACGTTATGTCAAGTCTCATCTCACTGTCGCCTGGGATCTCACTGTAAGGCATGGATGACTAGGCAGATTTTCTATGACTGGTTCATGGACTACTTTGTGCCAAGGATTGAGAAGTATCATTCCAAGGAAAATTTGACATTTAAGATTCTTCTCATTCTGGACAGTGCTCATGGCTTGAACTATGACTTCAAAATTGTGCTCCTGCTTTCGTAAATGACATCCATCATTCGATGGACCAGAATGTCACAGCAAGATCTAATGCCTCCTATGAATAGTGAAGACTTGCTGTACAGCATAAATTTGGATTTAGGGAATGATTCAGGAAAGACATTGAGCACAAGAATTATGACAAGTGCTGGTGGATCAATACAGTGTAGATAAACAGTCATGTTTTACTTTAGAAGGAACAGTGTGGCACAGTAACTCAGTGGTGTACACTACTGCCTCATAGCACCAGGGATGTGGGTTTGATCCCAGCCTTGGGGTCTGTCTGTTTGGAAGTTGCATATTCTCCCATGTCTATGTGGGTTTCCTCTCTCAGTCTAAAGATGTGCAGGTTACGAGGATTGGCCATGCTAAAAAATTACCATGTGGTTTTCAGGGATGTGCAGGTTAAATGAGTTAGCCATGATAAAAACCCCATGCAAAGTTTCAGGGGTGGGGTGCGGGGTGTTGGTCTGGGTGGGATGCTCTTCGGAGGGTTAGTACAGACTCGATGGGCTGAATGACACCATAAGGATTCTGTGATTCAAAGAGGAGTCAGAACACCATCAGCATTTGGTGAGGATTAGGGTGGAAGTGGGAAATAAACTGTAGTGTTGTCAGTTTGAAGATGCAGTTCAGAGTAAGATGCATATGGACAGGAAGACTGGACGGATTAGGAAGACCGGTATTCTCTTTTGTAACAAGGCCTAGTTTTCACCACAGCCCTTGCTAATATGTGTTGTCTCTTCTGCCTTAAATGTATAGACATCATAATCTCCAGCTTTCTCTTCAATTTCATCCACTTCATCACCTACTTAGTCTCTGAAGCCCCGTCCAGCCATGTAACCGTTCAATTATTTTTTAATCTGTCAGTTTTTATGAGCCCTTTTTTCCACTTTACCACCATTTCAGCTTCACTATCTGGATTGATTTCACTAAATCTTCTCATTGCTCCATTTTTGACCAGAATTAAAGGCCAATCTTTTCAGCAAAAATTTCCAATTAAGTCTTACCATTCATTGTTCTGTGCTTATTGCTTTACTTCATTCTCTGCTGCATTTCAAGGTATAATTTGTGCTGTTAATATTCTTAGAAGTTATTTTGATGAAATGTTGAACAAAATTCCTGTCGTACCATTTTGATGATGTGGAGGTGTCGCTGTTGCAGTGGGGTGGTCAAGGTCAGAAATCACACAACACCAGGTTGTAGTCCAACAGGTTTATTTAAAGACACAAGCTTTTGGTTTAGGTTGGTATAAAAGATTCCAGAGTACAATTCAAACAGAACGGAGTTCCTTTGGGCAACATTACTCTCTCAGTCAACCCTGCCAGAAACACGTTGCTCAATTATTAATTCCATCACCAGTTATGAGACCCTGTGTAAATGTATGCCTCACCTGCGTGCATCACAACCACTTACCACTTACAATGAAATTGTGCATGTATCACATTGCCATATAAATACAAGTCTGTCCCTTTCTCTGCACCTAGATATTCCCTGATATTTCTAATTATGTGGAGGAGAGAGAACTTGTGATGTTTAGCCACTAAGATTATCTACTAAATAGTACACCTCTACAGAGGAAGTATCCTAGTGCCGTAGCAACAAAACAAACTGCTTTCCCGGCCACCAACGACAGTGGAATGTTCTTGACTATATGTAAAATTATCTATGTTGCTCTTATTCACAAAATACTGATCAAATCGAATCAACTTATAACAGCCCTATGACCAACCTCCCAATCATCAACAAAGTGATGAGATCTTTCATCATTAGTGATATCAGTTTTATTTAAAATGTATTGTTTCATGAGCTACCCTTGGAAAAATAAACCTTTCCTGTTAACCTTATCTGTGCCCCTCATGATTTTATAAACCTCTATAAAGTCACCCCTCAACCTGCAATGCTCCAGGGAGAAAAGTCCCAGCCTATCCGGCCTCTCCTTATAACCTAAACCCTCCATTTAGGGCACACCTATTTCCAGCAAAAAATGCAAACAGCTTCCTTAACATTCAATAGCATCAACGTCTCAAAGATCCCCATCGTGAACATCTTCAGAGTCTTCGGTAGACCAGAACATCTTTAATGGGAGCAATGGAAGCAAAGGCTAAGTACTCTGCAAAAATAGCTCAATTCCTGATCCCTCAATGATTCTACACTATCTATACGGCTGTATGGAAAAATACTCACAAATCCTTGAATAGGTGCAGCTGCGCTAACATTCAAGAAGTTCAGCGCATCCAGGACACAAAGGTCCATTTGATTGTTAGAAATGTAAAAGAAATGAGCAAAGGAAGAGGAGCAGGCTATTCATACCCTTGAGCCTGTTCTGCCATACAGTTAGACCATGGCAATTTGCACTTCAGATCCAGCTGCCCACCAGGTTCCCTAATCATTGATACAATTAGCTAATAAAAATTTATCAGTCTACATTTCTAATATTTTCAAATGACCTAGCCTGTATGGCTTTCTGGAGGAAAGAACTCCAGACTGCACATACCTTGGGTCAAAGAACTATTTCTAACATTACCTGTGATATATCCAACCTCAATTTTTCTTTATTAGCAACTGGTTGATCACTTTTGTTTTCTTAGTGCTTTGACCTAGCAATGTTATAAAATAATGCAGTCAGGGATCTAATGGCACCAGGAGTTTCCACCGTCCTGGGTGCAGAAATGGACAGTGGCTGGTGATCAAGTGACCATCACTCACTCTATCTGTTTGGTGCTTCCCCTTCATTGTCAGGCAGAGATCTTTGAACAAGATGACATTGCTTTGCCCAGGGTTTCTGGCTATTTCCGGCAAGTAGCTGAAGAAGAGGAGCAGAATGCAAAAACCTTAATTGACTACCAGAAGGAGCGAGGTGGTCACTACTGCGCCAAGGACATTAAGGTATTGCCACATGTTTGACCAGCTCAGAACTGAGTCAGCAGCAGATAGGAATTTCTGACTATACCATAGCATACCATGTCAAGAAAAGTATACTTATCCAAAAGCAGTTAGATCTGATATTGATAAATCAATTGGCTAACGTGTAATATGACTTCTGATATTTACAATTATCAGAGTATCATCCAGCTCAAAATTATGTGGATGGACCTGAAAAACCTTAAATAGAACTGGAATAGTGTCAAAGAATAACTAATAAATTTGAAGTCATGCAAAAAACACAGCCAACACCAGATAGAAATCTCTTCTGAAGTGTTGCAATCACTTGTTCTAGTAACAGTTTGTGATTTTGAAAGTTGATAATATTTCCTTAAGAGAGAGATCAATAATTTATCATGCAGATGAATTTGTTGCATGAAAGTATGTTCTTATTAGCAGGTCTGGTTGCTGGTCTTTGGGTCAAATGTAGAAATGAATTACACAAATAAGCCATAGAAGAAGATGAGATATATGTTGTGGTGCTGAACCCCATCAGAAATTGTTGCCTTATTCAATCAAATGACATGCTGAAAGAACCCTACAACTTTATGGACATGGGTAGAAGATATTTTTTCAAGCATTGTGCAAACAACTACAAATATAATAAAAGCAGTACAGCTGCAGTGTGCAATGCATATTAAGGAGGCTATGATGGCTATTTTACCTAAGCTATTTAATAATTCTGAATTTCAAACTGGAAAAGGTTAAAATGATGTCAAACTGTGAGCCAAGCTCACATTCTTTATTTATTTACTTCTTCCCCCATCCAAGTGATTAAATGTTACTGTCATGTGCCGTAACAGTTCAATACCAACTGTTACTGACAAATGATGCTATCAACATTCAATGTTGAATATATTAAAACCTGTATGCACAACCATGTCTTAACTAAATTACAGTCCAATCTAGCAATGATTGCATGTCTGTGTGACAGGCCTTATGCATCCAGTCCATAAGTATTAACAAGAATGTAGGGGCATCAACAGAGGCATTTGATGTTTATATAGCATTTTCCCTGACCGCTTGACATGCCAGACTTGTTGACAACCAGTGAAGCACTTTCTGAGCATAATCACTGTTGTAATATGGTCCTGAGACATCAGCTCCCAAATATTTACGAGAGGTGAAGACCCACAAAGACACACAAAAGAAAAAAAACATATTTACGTGGTGCACTTGATAGTGCACAAGCACTTGATATCCCATAATGTTGTATAAATCAATTAACTATCATGAAATGTAATCATTGTTATAATGTAAGGAAAACAGTTGCCAATTTGTGCACAGCACAATCAATAATGTGATAATGGCCAGGTAATCTGTTTTGAGGTATTAATCAAAAAATAAATATTGCTCAGAACACAAGGAACACTTTTGAAAAAGAGTTTTGGGACCTCTGACAATGTAGCACTCCCTCAGTACCTCACTGGAACGTTAAATGTCTCCTTGGTGAATTTCAATTGAATTCATTGCAATGGTTCGCTATGCAAGATTCAAAGACGTACAAGGTGTTTTTGATTTTTTTGCAGAGGTTAGGATAGCCAATGGGAAAACTCCACCCCTGACACTTCATCTTTTTCACATGACCTTTTTGGTATTCCTTTTTCCTTGCAGAAACCCAGAACTGAGTCAGTCCAGAACATCTGTCAGGCGCTGGATCTGGCACTGCGCCAGTGGAAAACTGTGGCAACATTCTTGGAAGAATTGTGTGCACTGGGCAAAAGCTGCACAGACCCCCATACCACCAGCTTCATCAGAAAACAACTGCTTGTCCCCAAAATCCAACAAATCAAAGTGGTCAGTGATTTGATCACTAACGCTAACCGTCTGGGTTGTACAGATGAAGGGCAAGTTAGCTTTGGGGAATACCTCATTGACCGACTGCAGGAAGAGTTGGAGAGGCCACCGGCCTGAGCTGGTCATTATTTGTTTCACGTTCCACTGGCCAGATATCACACCTTTTCTATTTGCGTTGTATCAAATTCACTCTTTTAGAAAGATTCTCCCTTTTTCTAGGTTAAGAATTTAAATGCTCTTTTTAAAAGGAAAGAAGCAACTTTTTATATTGCTCCTGGAAGTAGATACATCATGGAAAATCGAATGAGTATTGTACACTCCATTTGGGTCCCAGCCAAACTGTACTTTGTACTATTTCCCAACTTTTCCATCCAGCAGTATGAGGAAGGATAGGGGACCACTTACAAAGAATATTTAGGTACAAAATTCTCAAGTTATTTTTTGAATTAATAATAAGGAATAGCTAGAGGTGAGAATATGATTTTGATTCAAATAGACCTTTTGTTTAAATGACCTTTCCTTTTACCCAATGCATTGGTTGTATTATGTTTCTCCATTATATCATTGGTTAATATCATCCTCGCTATCTCCTTAAACGGGAATTGTACTATTCGATATTTAGCTGACTAAACTGGATATTCTTTGTGGTCTTTTAAAATGACCCATTTTTCTTCCCATTCAATACGGATAAACCTCGCGACATTACGATATCAAAGAATTATTTCCATGTTTTTGCAACTACAAAACCAAGACTTTTTGTATCTGTGACTGGACCCGAAATGTTAATTCTGATTTCTCAGATGCGGCTAGACCTGCTGAATTTATGCAGCAATTTCTGTTTATGTTATCTGCAAAGCTTGTGGTCCCTTCAGTGAGCAGCCGAAGGGAACAAGCACTCATCAGCCAGTACACATGGTGCTCTAATATATATTCCGCGCTGCAGGTCACACTTCTAGTGCATTGATGCCGCTTCCTCGAGTTTGTTTCCATTTAAGTTCAGAAATTCATCCTTTGTTTACGACTTTTGATTAGAGCAGTATGGCCAAGGTATCTTTTAAGGGCTATGCAATGCTGTGGCAACACCTTTGATCATTTTCTTATCTCTAACTGTGCTGGTGTTAGGTGAAGCGGTGCCTAACGGTACCGTACTGAATGGCTTTGAGCTGTCCTGCACAAATTATATTGCAATTCAGAGCAAGGTCTTCCACGAAAAAAAGACGTTTAGTTATCCATAAGGACGGGATTTTTGACTAAGCTTTACCAGCCTGGGTGGGGTTTTTTTTGGGTGGGGGGGGATGTCAATAACCCGTCCTCCCGCCGGGACTTCTCTCTGTGCCCTAGAGAGACCGACAGTAACTTTTAATGCTGGCTCCAAAATGCACTTAAAATCTCTCGAGACTGAACCGAACATATCGTTTTATAACCGATTAAAAAGGCCAATGATTTTATGGGCAGTATATTTTCTTCTTTTGAAAGCAGAGATTTTGAAATCTATTTTCTAAATATTTTTCGTACAGCATTTTTTTTAAAAGAAAAGGATATTTTTACTGTCTTGCTTAACAATCAGTTGAAGGGCTGGTTCACTGTTGGTTCTGTAAATTGTGCTGTTTGGACCTGGTTCACAGTATATTCCGTGCTAACAATCTCTAACGTCAGTGTGCCAGTGAATGGTGTTTATTGCTGTAGGTGGGGTTGCTTTTATACTGGTGCGTTCATCTCATTGTTTCATAGTAGATTTTATAGCCATGTACCTGTGCCCAGAATCAAATAAACTGAGAAAACAGAGTGTTTTACTGCTAGCTTGTGTTGCAAAATCGTCAGGTGTCACCCTGGAGGGCGCACCTACAGCCTTTCGCCCGCATTCGGTTCAAATGTTTGATTTCAGAAATAGTCCCCGACCTCAGGCTTTGATCCCTAAACGCCCGCTACTCGCATCATTGGCGATTATAGGGAGAGCGAGCCGGTGATACCAAAGTGTGACAGTTCCAGCCCGCTCTGGGCAGTTCATTGATCCCTGTAGCCCAGCTTTCCCCAGCGCGCTGTTCCCTTCCCCGTTCGCTAAACCGGGCCTGAGGGAAAGCCGCGCTGGACTCATGTGTGGGGAAGGCTTATCGCTCCGTTCGTTCCGAAAGGTCAAAGATCTCCGCTTGACCTTTTTTTGTTTTGTGTGTAGGAAGCAGTGAAAATGTCCGGACTGTCCACGGGAAAGAAGTTAAGTAATCCTACCAGATGTCAGAAAGAGAGATCGAAATGTCCTATATTCTCAGTTCAAATCACGTTCTAGTTGACTGTCTCTGTGTGACAATTCACTGCTCTTCCCGGGAGTAGTCCTACTGCCAGAGAATAATAATCTTAGGATTAGATACGAGTGTAATTGACTGAAAAGAAAAGTTCTCTGCGTTATAAAATTGACCTCCCTTCCAAGCCGATGGATAGATTGGAGAGTGACCCAGAACCGCAGTGGGAAAGGGGAGAATTTCCAGAAAGGTTTTAAGAAAGAAGCTGAAAGTGAACGAACCGTAGAGAGTGGGGTCCGGGGTGGGGGTGGGGTTGTTGATGTGAGGCTGGCCGTCAGTGTTGGGGAGAGGGTCTGCTCTACAGATTAGAGAGAGAATTGAAGAAGCTTGTAACGACAGGACTGAGAGTGAACGAGGCTTGGAGACGAGACGCCAGGAAACAGGGGCGAAGGGAGGGAGGGAAGGGGGCAAGCAGACTTTTGGACGATCTGAAGGCCATCCAGGAGAGTCACCGAGTCTGGAGGCGGGATGAGGACCGGCTGAGGCCCTCAGTGACTGTCCCTGTGTATTGGTGCCTCGCCATCGCTGCCAGGCCTCCAGGACTGAGGGTCTGCGCTGGGACATTAGCCCACATCAGTGACCAGGCTTGAGGGCCGACTCCAAATGGCTGTGAAACCCGGCAACAGACAAGTAACAGCCAGAACCAGGGCAGCTGGTTATTAAACATAGAATTGGGTTCATTGGAAAGTAACAGCAACGATTTCATTCCAATTCCTCAGCAGACAGTTTGGTCAACGCTAACACATGGCGTCCTGAGAGAAACATTGACACAGTAACAGGACAGGGAAGGGACCTCGGCTCAGACATATATCCCTTCATTTGTCAACGAAAGAAAACCAGCAAAATATTCCCTGAAAGATGAACATTTATAATGAGTTCGCTCGTTAAGATCTAGTTCCCAGAATATGGATAAACAGTTATTCGCAATCTTAGCGTGGCCAATGCTACGTTGGGATTTTAAGCGATGTGTATAAGCAAGGTTTGTTGACACGTAGATCACTCATTGTACAGTTCGTCTATCGGATACGTCCACTTTCTGCTGTGTTGGAAGAGGAAAGATAACATACATAAAGAGGCAGAGGTCCAGTTACCTGTCAGGTTACTTGGAGCTCCTGCAGTATGTGTAGAGGGGCTGTTAATGCTGAGGCAGGTGGGTGTCTGCTTTGGGCTAAACACTCAGCTCAACGTCAATATTCTGTTGATCCTCACTTCGTACAGCAGGCTTCCTTCCCGGCCCTTCACTTCATCGTTTAGAATGCTAACAAGGTAACAAAAACAAAAATCGCCCCGGTTGATCACTTTCTAAATATCCGGTTATAAATTGGCTGCCTGGATTGCAAAGCCATTGCCAATTCTCCAGAGGAATAGAAAATACGTACTTCTGGTTTCACACAAGGCGCCAGAAAATTTCATTTTTCTAATTGAAGATTGAATGCCTAAATCTGGTATAATCTTTCGAAAAATAATTTTAAAACATGGACTTTTCATAAGGCGACAATATTGCAGCCAAGACGTAGTGTGCAAATGAACGAAAACTCTGTCTTCCGCCTATTTAGATGTGTGGGATCTTTAAACTGGAATCACTGTAGTCGAGGCAGGTGCATTGTGAAATACACAACGGGCAATGTAACCACAGAATGTGTATTTCCATTGAACGTTTCAATAATTAAAATCGGACTGCGTTGAGTGCTGCCTTGTTTAGTAAACTCGCCTAAATGTTCAAACATTTAGGCTTCCTATTACACTGAACCCAATCACACTGTTGATTTCGTTTACATCTTGAACGAAAACATGCCAAGCCTTGCCTTTTATTTTATTGCGGCGTTTTGAAACACACGCACTGGGCAAACCAGGTGTGGCAAACAACAAAGCAGAATGACTTTAAAGCAGAACAACAAACTCAATCTTTGACAAGAAAAAGCAAAACGAAAAGAAAAATAGCAAGAGATGAGCGCAAGCGGCTAACGAATTTGTATCTAATCTACGACTTGTCAGGCTGGAGAGGAGGAGAAGGGAATGGTGGTGCGGAGAGGACTCTTGTTGCTGCTCTAACAGAGTACGGACTGGCTGGAACAAACAGAACTGCGCCAATGGGAAACGGACCAGCCCCCTGTGTGTGTAGACCGCAGCGGGCAACCAGAGCTACTGATTGGTTCAGGGAGGAGCTTGGGCGTTGGGGGAATGTGCTCCACAGCCCACAAAGTTTGGAATAAAAAGGGCAAAACTTTCACTGGACACAGCACAGGTACCGAACAGTACGAGCGTGACAGCCCTAAAATCAAAATATTACGAGAGACGGGGAACTAGAAAGGTAAAGGGGGAGATCCTGTACACAAAGTTGATTAGGGATCGGGTCGTTCCAGTATGGAGATAACGGACACCTCTCTATGTTCCTTCTCATCTGCTGATGACTTCTATGATGACCCCTGTTTCTCTACTTCGGACATCCACTTCTTCGAGGATCTGGATCCCAGGTTAGTCCACGTTGGGCTGCTCAAACCCGACCAGGTGCCCACCGAGGACGAGCACATTCGAGCCCCGAGCGGGCACCACCAGGCCGGCCGCTGCTTGCTCTGGGCATGCAAGGCCTGCAAGAGGAAAACGACCAACGCCGACCGCAGGAAGGCGGCCACCATGAGGGAGAGGAGGCGCCTCAGCAAAGTGAACGAGGCGTTTGAGACCCTCAAGAGGTGTACGTCCACCAACCCGAACCAGAGGCTGCCCAAAGTGGAGATTCTCAGAAATGCCATCAGGTACATCGAGAGTTTGCAGGCGCTGCTCAGGGAGCAGGATGAGAATTATTTCACAGTCATGGATCAGTACAGTGTCGACTCAGATGCCTCCAGCCCCAGATCCAATTGTTCGGATGGAATGGTAAGACATCTGCGAAATGTAGAGATTTTTTACACAGTGTCAGACATCAGGTATGGGGCAAGGAGTAGCATTGAGCCAGGTAGCTGTTTCCATTTGCTTGTGAACGATAGATTTCGTTGCTGTAAAGTGTTTTGAAGACTTTGATGATCCACTATAGATAGACCTTGTGAAAGTAAGAATGTAGAAGTCATTGGACACTCCTTGTATGTCAAATACACGCTGGAGTGTTTTAGATATTGGATGACAGACCTTTCAGACTGCTGTCTGTGTTTTAAATCGAAACGCAAGAACGGTTTCGCTTGTTGAGTTGACTCCCACTTTTCAGGCCAGTGTAAAAAAAAACTCGACTCAGAAAGCATGAGAGTGGGGCAGACCACACCAGTTTAGAGCACTGTGACTGACTCTTTCTGGTTCTCACGTTGACTTTGTAGTTGGATTGCAGCGGGCCCACGTGTACCAGGAGAAGCAGCAATTTCGAGAACAGCTACTTCTCAGAAACGCCAAACGGTGAGTGAGTGTTCACTGGCGGGGGTGGTGGGGGTGGGGGTGGGGGGGCGGTGACGGGAGGTCATCACACCCGCAAAGGGCACAGCGGGATCCCATCCTGGGAAAGACGCTACTGAACGCAATACATCATCCCAATAAGCCCAGATGTATCGAGGTGTTTTTTTTTGCAATATTACAGTTTGTAGAGACAAATCATAAATAAAACTCTCTTAATGCGAGACTCCTGACAAGTAACGAAGATTGAAACCATTAAAATAGCTTGACTTTGAAAAATGTTTGGTTTATATTCTGTATGTACAACAATGATAGTTGTGTCTAGTATCATTCACTGATATATTTTCAGACACTTTATGGTCTTCCCTTAATCGATTGACAAGTTGTCAGCGGTTAATTCGTTTCGCTTCTTACCGAATGATATGTATGTTCCTGTAGCGCCTCAGTGCAAAAACAAAATACTGACTTTCTCTCAGCTGTCACTAACTACCTCCTGACATTGCCTGTTATGTTTAGATTCGAGAACCGGTAAAAGTTCCGTTATTTCAAGCCTGGATTGTCTCACCAACATCGTCGAAAGGATTTCCACGGATCGGCCGACCTGTCCGGTTATGATCGTCCCGGATGGGACCATGGGGAACCCATCATCTCCCCGGGAAGGTTCCACCTTGAACGATCCTACAGCCATCATCCCGTCACCGGAGAACTGCACCCGCACCGAGATTCCCAACGACAACCCAATCTACCAGGTCTTATAACGCCTCAGGATAGTCTCCACGCCCGTTTGTACCCGAGGAAAGAATTGGAGGCAACGTGAGAGGCAGCAAATCCAGAGGACGTTTCACAGCCAACAACAGCTAGTAATCCAAGAACAGACCACTTGACAAAACCTCCCGCCACAAGTACTAAAGTCTAACCAATTACATATTTCATATTTGTCTGCGTTTAGGAACAGAAATTTTTTTTTTATATTGCTTCTCCCTTTTTTGAAATGCATCCCAAGGAAAAAAATCAAAAATGTACAAAAGATAATGTGGACCACTTTTTTTGTAAAGCTTTGTGTATACTTGTAAATAAGAGTTGGTTTTTGCCAATCCGTTGAAATATTTAATGTCGCTTGTTTATAGAAATGCTTGGTTTGATGTGCCAAACTAAATTTATATATTTATATATTATCAGTGTGAATGCCAAGACTGTTTCAAGAAATCCGAAATAAAAAAAAGTATTTATAAAAAAAAAGTTCCACCTTTTCTGCACTGGTTTTAACCCTCCGGTCGGTGCCTTGCTCCTGCTAGGAAATTTAAACTGAGTTTTTGGTTTTCAATTGTGCAGAAAGAAGCGGAGATTTTACCCAGGGGGGTGTGCCTGTTCCACTGGTGTTACTTTGACTCGGAATGGGATCGTTTTGAGTTTGACTATTGTCCCCGATACACACACATACACACACACACAAACATCGCTTCAAAGTCCCAGAACATTTCAAATAAAGCAGCGCTTTAGTGCAGTGCCGAGCCGGGGTGCCGCACTGTCGGACGGGCTGACTGATATTACAAACCTTTGCCTGTTTTCGTTGAATAGAAAATCAAATTGAGTCCTCCTGGTCCACATTTAACCTTCAGATCAACACAATTCAAACGCATTGATAGTCCTTGTTTCTAACCTGTCTGCAACACAGCTTTTTTGAAATAGCTAACTAACATTCATAGACTGGGGGACGTCCTTTGGACGTGCGACTGATCATAACTGAAAATTATGTCTATTGTGTCAACTGGAAGTGACCACTGACCTCGTTTTGAAATGAACAAGACTGGTTGCGCATCTACAGTAGAGCGGAATAAACAAATACGGACAAACAAAACAATCGCCCATAGTCCAAATGTTCCTATTCCAGAAATTCTGAAGTTAAAATTCTGATCAAAATGGAATATATTACCAGGTGCTGATCCCGTTGCCTCCTACCCATTATATCATTTTTAAAAAACGCCCTTAACTCATACTCTGCACCAGTTATAAACGCTCGCTAAGTGTGAATGGAACTCCATTCCCACACCTAAAAAAACATACTCTCCAGGGACCTGGCTTAGCAGCAGGAATTCATCAAGTCCAAGGCCGCTGAAATGTGCTTTTCGAAGCCGAAAGGACGGGCTGGTGCAACGTGATCCTCAAAACATTGCGAAGGATCCCAAAATAATGGAATCCGATTATTGATCACTCTCAACTGCCGACCTCCATTAGGTCCAATGTATTTCGTCGGAATCAGAATTGCAAAGACGTGAACAAGCCAAGTGTCAGTAAAATCTCAGTTCAAGCTAAAGCAACATGTTGTTAGACGTAAGGATGTGTCTGAATGTATGTGTTTTGAGTAAATTAAAATGTAGTCCGAAATTTATGCCCTTATGTTTCGGAAACATGTCAAAAGGAGTAGAGAATGTAAATGGTTTGACTCATCTCCCAACTTTGAATGTCTTGTCATAAACCAAACCATGTGTTAACTGACTCAGCAAAAGGAGGCACATTAAACTTGGCTGCCCGTCTTCACAGCATCACAGCGAATATATAATCCCTTTAACACGCAGCGAATTTCACTTAAATCCACAAGCCATCTTAAATAACAGATGTGCTGCTTTATTTCATTGTAGCGGGATGGTCTCGAGGCTATGGGCCGAATAGATGCGGTCTGCTTATGAATTTTGTTCGTCCATTTCACCTGCATTTGAACAAATGAGAACAATGCTCGTATCTTCTACAGTACAGGCTGCAGGTCATTTATGAACCACATTAACACAGAGCAACAGAAATAGCCAGAGAGCCACTCTCACAACTGGACGGTGAATCATCATTCAAGCTTATGAAACCCCATTTAATCCTACAGTTGTGTCTAGTGATGCCACTTTGCGAGCATTATCTCACACGTTTATTTGGACAAGTTGCATTCTTTCTGCAAACTTCTTCAACACTGCCTCAGTCATTTCAGGGATGGGGTAGTGCAGTACCCATCTTGAAATGATACACATCAAATATGAGGCTTCAACAATATATTAACATCAGCTGCCTGCTACTGAAGTGCACCCAGTTGAAAGGTTTGCTCTAACAAACCCCTCACAATAATTTTATATCCACACTCAGCTTCTACACACATCAACTCCCTTCTTGCTGAGGCAGATTTCAATAGCACCAACACCACTGTTGCAACTGCTGGAAGGGCCCTTCTTCATATGAGATCTTTTATCTAATTCTACAAACACAACCTTTCTGCCTGATAAGCAGGTCTAAATGTTCATTCTATGCTTCTGTACTATTTACCACTGTTTAGAGCTGAGATCTCACCTTTATTGAAGCAAAGAAGATCTTGCTGAATTCCCTGATTAATTTTTTGATTACTATCTCTTATATTAATGATCTCTAGTCTTGGTCCTTCCAACCAGTGGAAGTTCTTTCTGTTAGTCTAATCAAATATATTTAATGCTCTTAAAAACTATTATTGGGTCAATCTCAAATTTTTTTATTTCAACATTCTTTCCTGACAGATACAACCTCACATTTCTGATATCAGCTGTGTAAATCCTTTTGTATCCTCTCCAGCACCCGACAACTTTTTACTGATAATATGTGCTACTGCCTGCAAGTGTGCTATGTGCTCCAACTTTTCATCTGGACAGGAGTTCTACAATTTTTGCACACGCAGTGAAATGCTTGAAGATTCACACAAGATATCCATTTTACTCTTGTTTCAACTCTAAGAGCCAACATTCTGGACTCTTGCTCATTTCCTCTTTCTGATCGTGGCATCTATTATCTCTGTTGAGGTCATAATGTTCAAAGAAAGTTGGGGAATTGAACCTAGATCCATGGTGGGAAAATTCACCATTTTTCCATAACCCATCACAATTTACCAGAAGTTCAAGGCAAACCCTGCATGAATGACAGAAAGGCTGGTCATGCTGCTCCTGAAGGTTTTCTGGTGGACAATCCGCAAAATGCCTTGGAATATTACCTCTATACATCTTAGCAAGACTAGGCTGAGCATTTACTCAATTTGGCCACTAGGTGGTGGTTACACTACTCACCCACAGTTTGATCAGGACCTGGCACCTTGGCAGATACTTTCAATCTATTGCAAAACGTTGCTGCAATCACATGATCTTATTTTGCAGATTGAATATCACACAAGATTTTTAAACCATGACATCATGGTTATATAATGCATATGTACTAATCCGCTTTAAAATTGTCAGATTCTCATCCTTGTAACAATTTGATTTCAAAGATCAAAAATAATTTAAGAGTATTTCCACATAATCACATTTGGGAAATGTGAAATAAAAACAGAAAGCACTGAAAATATTCAGCCAGTCAATCAACATTTGTGATGAAAGGAAGAGTTGAAGCTACAAGTTGGTCATTTTTCATCAGGCCTGGAAAATGTTGGAGATATATTAGGTTTCAAACAGCACAAAGAGAGTGAAATGGGGTAGAGGTAGAAAACAGAAAAGAACATGGGGGAAGAATGCAATTAGATTGAAGGCAACAGTGATTAAATGATAAGAGGAGTGATGATTCAAGGAAAAAAGATGGTAGACGACAAGTAAGGAATAGAACGATTGATGTAAAGAAGCTTTAAATGACACAGCAAAATTATTACCAATATCTATTGTCTGAAAAATGTAAATAGTCACTATGATCTAAATTTGTTCAACTTAATGTTGAGTCCAGCAAATTGTAAAATGTCTCATAGCAAATCTGTTATAGAGTCATACAGCACGGAAACATTCCTTTGGCCCGACTCCTCAATGTCAACCAAGTTTCCTATACTAAACCACTTCCATTTGCCTGCATTTGGCCCAAATCCCTTTAAACCTTTCCTATTCATGTACCTGTCTAAAAGTCTTTTAAATGTAGTAACTGTACCTGCATATACCAGTTCCTCTGGCATTTCATTCTGCCCTCTGTGTGAAAAATACTTGTGCTTTGACTGACTTCCTTAGAAAGGTTTAAATAGCTAAGTCCAAAGAGCTGAGAGTTGGAGTGAGATGGAGAATTAAAACCACAAATGACAGGAATCTCAGGGTCAAGCTTGCAGATTGAATGGATTGAATCACAAAGTGATTCCCTAATCTGCATTTGATCTGCCCAATTTCTTTTCATTAACTCACAGGGTATGGCTGCCAATGGTTAGGTCAGTATTCATTGCCCATCCCTAATTACCATGGAAAATCTGGTCATGGTGAGCCAATGTCTTGAGTATTAAGTTGAAAGCAAAAGCATTTAAGGAGGCCAAAGTCAGTGATAGCCCTGAAGACTGGGATAAATCATCATTTTCGACCATCAGTGAAGTTGTCACCAACAGTGCTATCAAGCGGCACCTGCTCAGCAATAACCTGCTCACTGACGCTCAGTTCAGGTTCTACCAGGGCCACTCAGCTCCTGAGCTCATTACAGCCTTCATTCAAACATAGACAGAAGCACTGAATATTAAAGGTGAGGTGATAGTGACAGACCTTGACATCAAGGCCACATGTCTCTGAGTGTAGCATCAGGGATCCCTAGCAAAACTAGAATCAATGGGTATCAGTGGTCATATTGTCTGCTGCCTGAAGTCATACCTGGCACATAGGAAGATGGTTGTGGTTGTTGAAGTTCAGTTATCTCAGCTCCAGAACATCTCCACAGGAGTTCCTCAGGGTAGTGTCCCAGGCCTAAACATCTTAGCTGCTTCATCAACAACCTCCCCTCCATCATAAGGTCAGAAATGGGCATGTTATCCAATTATTGCACAATGTTCAGCACCATTTGTGTCTTCTCAGATGTTGAAGTGGTCCATGTTCAAATGTAACACAATCTAGACAGTATTCAGGCTTGGGCTGACAAATGGCAAATAACATTCACGCAACACAAATGCCAGGCAAT